ACTCTAGGGATATTATCAGTTCCTGGCGAAGCAGAAGATTTACCCTCTGTTTGAGAAGTTTGGCAGTATCATTCTGGTTCTGACGGCCTGGTGCACACTTTGTCTTTATCTCCTTTAAGAGAAGAACCATGTCACCCGTCGCAGAGCGTTTCCGACCAGTGAGAGGCGACCGATTTCGCGCTGAGAATGAATATGAGTCATAGCTGTTACAGCTGTCAATCAAGGATGTGAGGCTGGAGACAGCAGAATTTTTGATAATGGACTGTCACCTTGACATCCTCGTCATGCTTTGTACGTCGTCTAATATGCGATGATGCTCTTGGCGGGCGCCCGCATTGCGGATAGCCTTGAGAAGTGAAGGCAAATCAGTTTTGGCGGTTGATGCGCGAACCGAGTCTGATACTCAGCGGGACTTTTGCGGGCTTCTAGTACCAAGCTGCATTCCCTATGGAGGGTAACAGTTTTTCCAATCGCTAATACTCCTAACACAGACCGTTTTTTAAGGTGAGCGAAGACCCACGCGCATAGGCGTGTTGGAGCTTCGCAACAGCGCGATGAGAGACTCCGGACGGTTTGAGACATAAATCACGGCGTGATTTGGGCTGGCTCTTGCACTTGCCGTAAACAAGTTGGGCGCCTTTAGCAAGGTGAAGTTCGTTTGTGAAAGCTGGACATCGACGCGATTGCTACGGAAAAATGTCAAAACAGTTCTTACTGATTGATTAAGGTGTGCAGCGCGAAGCTCAAGCCGCGAGGAATCTAAGCTCAGTGAGCGCCTTTTTTAAAATGAACTGCCAGGCTGCGTATCAACGAGAAAGGGCGGACGTGTTTGTTTGGGCCTCGGAGAGACTGGAACCACTCTCATCGAGGTACACTACGAATCCTTACCGAGAATTCGGATGCGCGTAGGCCTGAAGAGTAGTTTAATATTGTGCGCGAAAGCAGACGCCTCGTGAAGTACGATTGGCGGTTTGAACGTGATAAAGTGATGACGGTGGAAAAGAACTTCAGGCGAAGTCGTTACTTGTGGGGCGGTCAATTTCGCTCAGAATATTTGAAGAGAAAGAATATGTGAACCTCAGTGTAAGCGACGTCCTAGCTGAGGAGGGCGTAACGGGCATATACTGTAATCCTGTGTACTTACCCTTCCACATTTAATACAGTTATGAGATACTCAATACAATTCAATTGTACAGGTTTCATATTTAAACTTTGGTGTAATTGTGATTATCCAAAAGTACCAGAACTTAAAAATGAGAGACACCTAGGCTCGTCAGAAAACAGAGACAGTTTGATATGAGATAGAGTAGAGCGTATTTACTTAGTAGTTGATACACAGCCAATCTTTGCTGTACCTGCGTTTTTGTTCGTTGAGCAATGGCTTCCAATTCTTT